TCACCTGAAAACCTCCATTCGGCCATCCCCTAACACTGGAGGTACCTGAACTCTGAAGAGTTGAGATTCATGTATTTGAGGTAGTTGCCATAGGCTCCTTTTACAGTCAGAGAAGAAACAGGAACTTACAGAGCACCGTTGATCCATTTGAGACTTCGGGAGATAAACTGCTGCCCAGACTTCTCTGGCGCATTGTCTTAGTATGCATTCACTCCCAATCTTATGCAAAGATGTTTCTTACTAGCATACTAACTGCCCTTCCAATTGCCAACAGTATTTGTTTCAGATTTTCTTATCAGTTTTCTAAGCTGTATTTTTTAAATCTGCTCTGTCCCTTGGATTTTTTCCCCACATTTATTTTATTTGCTTGTTCTGGATCTTTATTTGATCTGGATCTTGGCTTCTTTATTATCTTAATTGGCATTTCTCCTTTCTTTTCCCCCAAGAGCAATGTTTCAGCATTTAAAGGTTTGACAGGTTAATCATGACGAAAAGGAATGTACTTAAATCTCATTATATTTTTCAACTTCAAAGAGTTTTGCTCATATTTATTAATGTATCTTCACAATATTTAAGTCAGAATTACCACTGCTGTTTCAAAGGTAGGTGAACTGAGGTGCAGACATTAAAGCTGAAACATATATTCAACAGGTACAAACAGTCAGCAGGAGGCCTAATCTGTAGGAAGCAGAAGTCTGGTACTAAGAGGTTTTTCAAAGCTTGTGTTTGGTGTTGCCCACGTTCCCCTTTGAATCGGTGCTCTAGTGCAGTGAATTTAAATACCTTCATCATCTTTAAAAAGCAATGGTATTTCTCAAAGGCTGCTGAAGTACTTCAGATTTAAGTATCTAAACCAACACTAACCTAAATGAATCTCTGCCTGGTCTAAAGCAAACTAGGACTATGCAGTAATACCTTACTGCATGTAGGCGGATTTTCTCTAAATGTGATGTAAAATTCCTCCATGTACACTAAAGTGCCAGAGAGAATAGCAGTCTAGCAATAACTGTTCTAAAACTTCACAGATTATGGGAAAGTGGGAAGTATTACACTTGTCTGTTGATGCTGTTCCCCCCATAAAGGCTCCAGTTCACAGCACCACAGAAGACAGAGGTTCACCCCTTTATTACCATGTACTGCCTTTTCCACTTGTGCTGATGTATGGCAAAAGCCCTGCTGTGCAAACCCCTCTATTGATTTAATTCTGAAAATATACCACACTGCTAAACAAAGAAACAAAAATAATGTGGGCTTTGCAATTCTGGCTTTTTTTTTTTAGCCAGTTTATTACTCTAAAATACTAAGTAATGCATATTAATACTGTACATCATAAAGTTCCTAATAATGTAGGTATACTCTTCAGTTTGTTCTGACTCTTCTAAATCATTACCAATGTAATCTTTAAAACAGTAGCTCTTCATCCACTGTAGGCTGTAAAAAGAGAAAGTAATATCTTCATCAGATATCACAGCTTTCATTTTTTTTCCTATGGTATTAATTGCTCATTGGTTACTAAGTTCTGTTTACTTTCAATTCTAAGCACAAACTTATTCTATTACTTCGCTTTTAAGTAAAACTTCTTCACAGAAATCTGTAAACAGAATTCAGATCACTGATACACTGTTCTGAAAAATATTCCAGAAAGAGTACTTCAGTATATCATAACTTTGGATAGTGAGGGGCTACTCCACAAAAATATTTTCTTCAACAAGTCACGATGGATTTTTTCCCAGTATTGTTTTAAAATTTGCTATTCCAGACTGACATTAATTACCACTGGTACAAAGTTTCTACAGTTTATCATGATGTGAGGCTTGAGGAAAACTAATACACTCCCTATTAGCAATGACTGATCTTTTTTGTGAATACCGAAACCAGCTTAATGGAAACTTATATAAATCCATTGTAGTATTTTATATTATTTTAAAATGAAAACTAATATATGGTAAAGGCACAAACACATTTGCACATCAGAATGAGTATTTTCTGTCTCTCCAAGTGGCATGTAATATATCAAGAATCATTGCATGCTAATTAAGCCACATTTGTGGTTCACAAAGGCAGTACACATACAGAATATAGTTTTGCTTAAGCAACAGTTAAGACTTGTATGACTTCAAAAGGAATTATAATTTTTTAAGATCATTTGGAGAACTCACCTTCAAATTCACTGTATTTTGTAAGTTCTGTAATTGCAAACCACTTAAACTTTAGTAGGTACAAAAAAGTGAAGAATAAGTATGTTTATTTTTAAACTTCAGTTCATGTTGAAACTGTCAATGACTTTTAAATGAAGTATTCTGAAGCACTGGAGCAGTTATTTCAGGTACAGAGCTTCCAAGTGGAACACATGACTGAGGGAAAGTATCGTATCATAATGTACCTTGGTTCTGAAATGACTTTGAGCCAGTCTGCCTGTTTTATCACCACAAATTTCATTTGCCAAGATGTCGTTACTGTTTTCACAAAATTGTTTATGTTCGGAATCACTAATTCTAATTCACATTTATTTTCATGAAACCTGAGTTCAAAAAGAGCCTCCTGTTACCCACTTTTTCCAGAAAAGGGATATGACACAAAGCTGTGCCAAGTGCAGGCTCACAGGAGATGCAGGTGTCCTGACACAGCACACACAAAAAGAGTTGGGAAGATGGAGACAGTCCTGCATCACAGGATGAAAATGGAGAAGGAGGTGGCCCTAACACCCAATAATCCTTGAAGTGATGAAGACAGAAGTCCTCTTCTTCCCCACAAGGACCATCTCTGTGATAGAAGAAATAGTCAGGAGAAGGAAAAGAAAAAAGATTCAGGTTTTTTTCCCTGAATGTTGTTTCCTTTCTCTTTTCTCATCTACATATCCTACACTTCCTGTCTTTCTTCTGCACCTTGTCACCCCTCTCCTGCCCAAATCACTTCTCCCTTCATTCTTCCCTTAAATCCCATATTATCCTATTTCTGTCACACTTGCATTTTGCTTTTCACAGAATTACATTTAGATTGGAAAAGACCCTTAAGATCATTGAGTCCAACTGCTAACCCAGGACTGCCAAGTCCACCGCTAAACCATGTCCCTAAGTGCCGTGTCTACACATCTTTTAAATACCTCCAGGGATGGTGACTCCATCATTGCCCTGGGCAGCCTGTTCCAGTTCTTGACAACCCTGTCAGTGAACAAATTTTTTCCTAATATCCAATCTAAACCTCCGCTGATGCAACCATCCTGTTGCTCATTACTTGGCAAAAGAGATGGATGCACACCTGGGCACTCTGCTGGCTCATGTTCAGCTGCTGTCAACCAACACCTCCAGGTCCTCTTCCTCCAAGGTGCTTTCCAGCTGCTCATCCCCGAATCTGGAGCACTGCATGGGGTTGTCATGACCCAAGTGCAGGGCCAGGCACTTTGCCTTGTTGAACCTCATATCATTGCCCTCAGCCCATTGATTCAGCCTGTCCAGATGCTTTTGCAGTCTTTCCAGCCTCCAGCAGATCAACACTCCCATCCAACTTGGTATGTCTAAGGCTGACTGAAGATGCCCTTGATCTCCTCATTCACATGGTTGATAAAGATTAGTATTAAACAGAACTGGCCCCAATTCTGAGCCCTGGGGAACAGCACCAGTGACCAGCCACCAGCTGGATGCAACTCCACTCATGAACACTCCCTGGGCCTTGCCATCCAGAGAGTTTTCTACTCAGTGAAAAGCACACCTGGCCAAACCTTGAGCAGCCAGTTTCTCCAGAATGATGTGGGAAACTGTGTCAAAGGCCTTACTGAAGTCCAGGTAGACACATCCACAGCTTTTCCTTCATCCATTAAGTGGGTCACTGAGGGGGGTGATCACTGCCCTGGTCCTGTTGGTCACACTGTTTCTGACACAGGCCAGGATGCCACTGGCCTTCTTGGCCACCTGGGCACTCTGCTGGCTCACATGCACTTGTCTCTGACCCAACCATAGAATCATAGAATCAGTCTGTGGGTTGAAAGGGATCTCTGAGATCATCAAGTCCAACCCTTGATCCACTACCGCTGTGGTTACCAGACCATGGCACTAAGTGCCACATCCAGTCTCATCTTAAAAACCTCCAGGGACAGAGAAACCACCACTTCCCTGGGTAGCCCATTCCAATGCCTGATTACCCTCTCTGTAAAGAATTTCTTCCTAATATCTAATCTAAACCTCCCCTGGCACAGCTTAAGACCATGCCCTCTTGTCTTACTGATAGTTGCCTGGGAGAACAGACCAACCCCCACCTGGCTACAACCTCCTTTCAGGTAGTTGTAGAGAGTGATGAGGTCTCCCCTGAGCCCAGGCTAAACAACCCCAGCTCCCTCTTCCTCTCCTCATAGGACTTGTGCTCGAGTCCCTTCACCAATCTTGTTGCTCTTTGCTGGACCTGCTCCAGCACCTCAATGTCCTTCCTGAGCTGGGGGGCCCAGAACTGGACACAGTACTCGAGGTGTGGCCTCATCAGCACTGAGTACAGGGGAAGAATCACTTCCCTGGACCTGTTGGTCACACTGTTCCTGATCCAGGCCAGGATGTCATTGGCCTTCTTGGCCACCTGGGCACACTGCTGGCTCATGTTCAGCTTCCTGTCAATCCAAACTCCCAGGTCCCTTTCTGCCTGGCTGCTCTCCAGCCACTCTGTCCCCCAGCCTGTGGCACTGCAGGGACTTGTTGTGGCCAAAGTGCACGACTCAGCACTCAGCCTTGTTGAACCTCATCCCGCTGGAATCAGCCCAACTCTCCAGCCTGTCCAGGTCCCTCTGCAGAGCCCTCCTGTCTTCCAGCTGATCAACACTCCCCCCCAGCTTGGTGTAATCTGCAAATTTGCTGATGATGGACTCAATCCCCTCATCTAAATCATCAGTAAAGATATTAAACAGGACTGGGCCCAACACTGATCCCTGGGGGACACCACTAGTGACCGGCCACCAACTGGATGCAGCCCCGTTCACCACCACTCTCTGGGCCCGGCCCTCCAGCCAGTTCCTAACCCAGCACAGAGTGCCCCTGTCCAAGCCATGAGCTGCCAGCTTTTTCAGGAGAATGCTGTGGGAGACGGTGTCAAAGGCTTTGCAGAAGTCCAGTGCTTTCAAGGCCCTTAGGTTCACTTTCCGGAACAATTCCTGTACTTCCCAGAGACTCCTTCTCTAACCTGCCCCCTGGAAACTCCCATCCCAGCGCCCCCAACCACAGCACGACAACGCTCAGTTTTGGAGTCGGTTGGCAGCGCGGGTGCCCCCGCACGAGCGGCCGGCTGGGAGGGGAAGGGAAGGGCTCCCTCAGCACAGCGGTATCCGTGGAAGCACCGCGGTACCTGAGCCCCGAGGCAGCAGCGCTCAAGGCCAAGCGCAGCACAGCCCCCGCCCGGCGGCCCCGCGCCTGCGCCCTCCCGCGGGGGTGACGCGGCGGCCGCGCCGCGGAGGCGGGACCGGGCACGAAGGCGCGGTGTAAGTTCCTTCCCCCCGCGGCGGAGGGGCCACGGCCCGGGCTGGGGGCGGGCGGCGCCGGGGCGCGGCTGCCCCCGCTCTGTGCCCCGCCCGGGGCCCCTGGGGCCGGGGAGCAGGAGGCGGCGGGGCAGAGGCTCCGGGCGGGGCGGGCGCCTTTCCTCCGGCGAGCACGAGGGGTCCGTCGTCCAGGAGGCCCTGCCCTCGCCCCGTCACGGCAGAGCGGGTCCGGCAGCTCAGCCGGGGCTCCGGGCGGCGGGAGGAGCTCGGCGGTGTCCCCCGGGCCGCCGAGATGCGTGCGGGGCCCGCCCAGTTCCCGTCCCCGGAGCGCGGCAGCGGCGGTGCGGGGCCTGCGGCGCTCGGACGGGGCGGCTGTGGGAGCTCAGGGCCAGCGCGGGCACACGAGCCCTGCCCCAGGGATGTCCCAGCCCTGCCCCGCGGGGGTGTCGAAGCCCAGCTTTCGGGGGTGTCAGAGCCCAACTTGGGGAATTGTTACAGCCCTGCCCTGGGGGTGTGTCACAGCACTGCCCTGGTAGTGCCAGCCCGGTTCTAGGGGCTGTCACCCCTGCGATAGGGTATGAATGCAGTTACCAGTTCTGATGTTACAATAAAGACCTGCAGAAGGGCTGTATATTACAGGTTCCTACAAGTCTCGAAAGTTACTTGTCCAGCTCACGTTTTTTTTTAGCGGTGGTCATAAAGCGCGTCATCTGTGAGGGGTGGCCGTAGCTTCCTCCAGGTTCTGTGGCAGCGTTTGGCTGCTGTGCAGCCCCAGCGTGAGTCAGAGCTGTGTGCCGAGCTCTCGACTCCGAGACCTGAGCGATGTTTCATAACCTTGCTGCTGCTTCCATAAAAGTACAAATACGATGTGCAGTCCTCTCAGGCTCCTCACGGTTTGGGAGGAACTGAGAGCCAAAGGGCTTTTGTCCTGTAGTTGCAGAAATGGATGCAGCAAATGAGTGTAGTGTTTGTGTGTAACTGGGGCTGAGGCCTGCCAGCTTATGAATCCATTAGAATTTTTTATATTGCTAATGACATAAGGAACATATCACAGGTTCCAAATGCTCTGATGTGTCTGGCATAGATAGCTTAAGGAGGGAAGCGCTTGAAAGCAGCATAAGAGAGTTTTGGAAAGACCATGGTAATGTCTGCAGTGTGGCAGATATGAAATAATATGTAAGATTGGGTTGTTTAAATTTCTTTTGCCCCGCAGTCATGCTTTATTAAAAGGTTTACCTAGTTCTACACCTGAATTAAAATTGACATGATACATCCTGTGCTCAATTCCTTTCTTCTTCTCCAAGTTAACTCTTATCTTGTTGAAACTTTTTAATGTGTACTGAAGTATCAGTCAACAGTCTAGCCCTTAAATGCTGTGTAGTTAAACTAATTAGTCTTGAATTTGCTTGTACGTATTTATTTGAACCTGTAATATACCATTAAAAGTGATCTTTCCTGTTATTCATTAATAAGAAGGAAAGAGGAGGATAACATAGGATAAGTGCACAGTTCCCTTGGATCACAGTAGTTTGTGTGCAGTTTTTTCTTCCCACAGAACTGTTCAGCAACCAAAATACTAAGCTGTTTTTTTGTTTTGTTTTGGGTTTATTTTTATAACCTTATCGTAGATAGTTATTTTTAGTACTAGTTTAAGTTAATCTTTTTAGAAGCTGTTTTTATACAAAGCAAAATATATGTATTTCGGGGATGAGTGCATATTTTTTTCTGCTTCAGTAGCAAGAAGAATTGGATTCTTTCCAACTTACAATTTGTCAAAAGTCAGAAAGGAAAAGGAAGGAAAAAAGCTTATGACAATTATATTATAAGTTTAAAATATTTTTTGTGATGATCTGATGTTGTTAGCATTTAATTAAAAATATTCTTGGGTACTGATAACTGGAGGGTCAGAAGAAAACCAGCACTATTGTAGGATTCAAGTGTTTTTAGCTTTTGTAATTAAAATGTTTTTCAAAGCAGTTCATGAAGGAAAACTGGTTTCCTATGTTTCCTACATCTCATCTGTGAAAATATCAGAATTAGCAATGACAGTGACAGCATATGGTGAGGTATTTCTGACTTTCTCACATGAAACCTTAGATACACGTAGTGACTGTCATACATATGTTTTTGATGTACAGGTTCAAGGATTATGTTGTATTAGATGGAAAAAAGTGTTCTTCATTGGTGACTTGAGCTGTTTCGAAGAATTGTATGTGCAGAGGTAATACATGATTTTTGGAAGTGGTTTAATGTTTTAAATGTCTATGAAACTGGTGATGGTTTTATGTATTTATTTGCACCTAATGAGGCGATGTTGTCAGGTCAAAGTGAAATGGCCAAATGTTGAATGTAGAGCTTTGATCTGAAGTTGACAGAAAATATTACTGCAGTTAGAATTATAGAAACTTAAGAGTTTTAAAAATACATGGTAAAATCAGAAATGTGCAAAATTTATTGGTTATTTTAGCAATGTTTATTCAAATATTTATTATTGCAATTTCTAATATGATATACTGTTAATATATGGTACACCTCAGAGGATTTGCTGTTTTGTTGAAAGTAAATATGTTTTAGTAGAATTCTTGTTTATATACCACTTTCTAAAACGTTTGTCTGTTTTATTTAATATGATTTTCTGTCCTTTGCTAAACACATTTTCTGAGATATTGGAACTTTCTGTTGTTGTTTTCATTTTTTATTTCCTTGAAATAGGAATTAAGATGGATGAAATGTTTCATTGGCTGTAGGAGCAGCAGGATGCATAACACGGGTATGTTGAAAGAATACAGTTAATATCCTTGCAGAGTATTTTAATTTTTGATCCTGTGTCTATCTGAACAAAAAGATGATTTTTGTCATTGTGCTTGAATTGCTGTTTGTTTGTTCATTTTAAATTCTTTAGCATCGTTGAGGATGTACTCCATTGGGTTTGTACTCCAATGAAACTTGTTTTCATAGTTTCCATATTAGTGGTTCAGCAGCAGGAAATGATGTTTTGATCCTCATCCTCATCTGCAGTGAAGTTAAGACATTGTCCTTATTTGCTTGGACCTAGTGCTTCATGTTGTCATTATAATTTGCTTACAGAGATCCAGAACATGCATTTATTTAAAAAGATTTTTTTTAAAACAAAATTTAAAACATGAACATATATTTTTACAAGGCTAACATTGGCAAATAAGAGAATAGTGATGCTCGAGTAATAGTTGAGCCCTTTCTCATGAAGTATATTTACATGTTCTTGTTATCAAAGTTGAATGAATTTCAGTCTTCTTCACAATGTAACCGTTAAAAATAATATATAATATAGATTTAAATATTTTTTTAATTTTGAAAATAAAAAGCTATGGGTTTTTTTATTTCGTTCTTTCTTTTGCTGGTGTAACAAAGAGATTCTTACTGTCAGCTTAAAATGGCATTTGAAGAATGCTGTTGTCTTTGTATTTGCTCTGTATTACTGTTGGTGTTGTCACCTTTCATGAAAACAAAGAACAGCTGGGTAGAAACCATGCTATTCTTCATGTGCTATTTTCTAATTAAATGTGTCTTTAACTTACTATATTATAGTGCAGTATTTGCAGGTATGGATTGGTCCTTTATAAGCTGATGAAACATAGTGTAAGTAATATTCAAGCATTACTTTTTTTAAAGGACTGATTTCATGGGTATTTATAGTGTAATTAAATGTTGTAGGAAATGCTATCATGGTTTGTGTAGCAATATGTTGTAATCTGATAATTCTTTCTAATTAATATCAAGAATGTAATCAAAACACCATAAACCTAACTGTGGTAGAACTGTACCGTGTATTGGACACGTATATGAAAGTGCATAAATTAAGGAGAGACTATCTTTGGTTTGCCACTTGAGTCTTTTACCATTTTAGGAAAAAATAATTTCCTCACCTAAACAGCAAACTATTCCCTTTATTGTTGGTTTTTCTTGTATCTTTTTGAAGGCCATGCAGTACTGAAAGCCTTGCCTGAAGGGAGGCTGGCTGGTGTCCTGATACCAGAGCAGGCTTAGTAGTGAGCAGTCAGTGTATCTTGAATTGTAGCATAAATGGAAAGGAGGGAATGTAATAAGTAGCTCAGTGCATCTTTCAGAATTGTAATGCCTTGTGGTCACTTTATTTGTGGTTAAGTTTTTGGGGGTTTTTGTGTGTTTTTTTTTTTTGTTTGTTTGTTTGTTTTTTGTTTTTTTACAGAATGCTGATTTTTTTTTTCATGGCATCATATAAAGATTATAGTGACTTTTAGAGGCTGATATAAGATATGAATTCATGTGTATGTGTTGTGTTGTTTGTCTGTGGCATAGCTCTTTAATGTTTTTCAGAAAATCTAAGCCCAAGATTGTTGGTTTAGAGAAAGTATCATGGTTAATGCCAAGAAGTCATGTGATGAGATGCTTTAAAGCAGCACTGTCTCAGCCTTGCTGAAGAGCCTCTGTCACAGCAAGTCACTGGGGAGGCGGGAGTGTTCTTTGGCTCACTTGGGTATTTGCCAGGAGGAGCAGGTGCAAAAGGGATGGAAAAAACAGCTTGGAAAATTTGTTTGATAGGTGAGGGAGTTGTGGGGGAAATAAACTACTTCTGTCAGACTTACTAGGAGAACTTTTGCTGTTTGGTTGAGTTTGGGTTGCGGATCAGTCAGAGCAATGTTTCCATACTCAGTCTCCCACGTGAAGCATTATGGTACCAGTAAATGAACATTGAAATGTCTGTAGGAAGTATTTAATGGTTTTATGTGACTCAAAAGCAGAAACCAAACAAAAAAACCGCTTAAGGGTGTGTTTTCTTACTTTTTGGTGCATTATTCAGCTGTTGTAAGGGACAATTGCAAGGGACTCTATCTGTTCTTCTAAGGATTTTTCCCTAGGGCCAACTCTCTGAAAATGTTGCATGGTGACAAATTACAGCTTAGACCGATGTAATTTCTGTTGTACTTGTGCTTCTTTGCCACTTTGCTTCTCTTATATATATGTTTATGGTTATTTTGGATGAACCAGAGAAAATAAGGATGTTCCTGTTACTCATTTTTGTAGTTTTGAGCACACTTCAGTCTTCTGTTGAATGATGTAGAACTTAATTTTGGTGGGTTTTTTGGCCATCCTTGACTGCTTGGCCTCCCCTAAGTGAGGCTATAGTCTGCCAATTGTTTGTGAGTGCATGTAATCTCAGATTTATATCAGTCTGCCCTTTCAAAGAAGTACACCAAAACATGAGCTTCTGGCGGTTCCTGCTCTTGCTCAGCTCAATAAAAGTAGAGCTGCTGGTGAAGAAATAAGGTAGATCCATGATTTCAGGAAGCAAGGCTGTAAAGTTGAAATATCCAGCATCAACTGCTAATTATATACACTGTCCTAAAGGTAAAACTATATGAACACCCAAGATACTGTAAGAGAATGACAAATGATCAGTCTGTGGAAACCTGTTGTGTATGTAAGCATGACCTGGGTATGATGAATCAAGAACTTAAGAAGTTACCGGCCTACTAGTAAAATGTCCTAAATTAATAATATGGATGTTCAGTGGGTTGTGTTGCTTTTGTCATCAACAGATTTTGAGGCTTTACTGAAGAAGGAACTTAAGTTGGTATTGGATTTAGAAAGAAGGAACTGTTCTGTATTACAGGACTCAAATGGAGACCACCCAAATGCCTTCAGCTGTTTGTTGTTATTTTCACAAGTAGTTTGTTCTTTTAGCAGAGTGTTTAAGAACAGAGAGTTGAATCAATCACCATACTATGTTCTTCCCTAAATAGCAATATTAAGTAAACTTTACAATACTGTTCAGCATCAAGAAAAAAAAGTCATAAACTTTAGATTCTCTCGTTTTTTTAACTTCCAGAGAAAAGTAACGATAGGCTGTAGTGATTTCAAATCTTTGAATGCACCACGTTCTTGGAAGCCTTTTTCTGTTTTTGCCTGGATATGTACCTTCTAAGGGCCAATCTGTTATATTTTGTGGTATTTCAGTAAGTTAATTCAGAGATGTTTATGTTTTCTGTAGTTCTGGTAGAGTAAGCAGGATGTAGAATGTTCTTGTCTTCCATATATTATGAGTTATCTTTTTTTTACAGTCTTAATTCTTTAAAGGGCAGGTCTGCTGTATTACTTTACAAACTCACTCTTGTGCCAGATGTATTTGGTGCCTCATTGAATGCCTAAAGCTGAAAAGTCCTGGTTAGTTACCTTTGCTTAGTGTGTGTTTATGTTCTCCTGTAAACCAGTGATTTTGTTTTTGGGAAGGTATCCTGATTGGTATATGACAATGATTTGCAGACCTTAATGGGTGAGATACAAGGAAGAAAAGCAAAGACTACCTGGCCCCAAATGATGTCTTGACAGGTTGCTTTTATAAAGAGAAATTGGGAAAAAAAATTGTTTACCCTTTGAAAGGCAGTGAATATGGAGAAGTATAACACAAATACACAGAATGATGAATGGTTTGAAAGAAGAAATTCAGAAGCTTTTGTTTTGTTGATTCATGCTATAAGAGTAAGGGGACATTCTGTGAAATTAGGGTGCAAACTGAGAAAGAAACTTGAGAAAGGATATATTTCTTAATAAATTGATAAGACAGTGAGCTCTGCAGTCTAGGGGTAATTTTAATTTAGGAAAATTGTAATAGAAATTGGATAAGCTAGAGTGCAAGAATATTTACACAGGCTCAGGTTACCTTTTCTCCTGAAGGAATATAATCCCCATCTTTTCTTAGTTGCAAGATTATTTCCATCATGATTTTTAATAAAGCTCATCTAAAAACTATGTATTGATGGTGGGAGTAAAGCAATTAAGTCTATCCCTAGTTTGTTTATGGGAGAAAAGGTTATGGTATCTCACTAATTTGTTTGCTCTCATTCCCCGAATTAGGTTATATCTAGATGAGATACCCACTAGGAGCTATGTCTAGTTCCCTTGGTGGTATCCACTGATTTACTTTATTTTTGTGGTAGATGGGGACATTGAAGAAGGGGTTTTGGGGATTAACATCAGGATCCTCGTTAACTTGGAAAGAACTTATGTAGGGCAGTTGCTTTTGTGACTTGCCACTAGTGAGACGCTGTTCTGTTCAGCTTTGATTTTTCTGTTGCCTGGGCTCATGCATTAAGTAGGTGTTCCTGCAGTAATTTAATCCAAGTCAGTACACAAGTTTGTTCTGTACCTAGAGTGATGGAATATTTAGGGAGGGTGAGATGAGCTAACGCTGGCCTTCTGTGTCACCCAGCCAACTCCCAGCAAGTATGTAAAAAGTCATAAAAATAGCAGTGGGGGTATCTTAATTAAATGAGCATGCTTGTCGCTCTGCCAGTCTTTTCTCTTGGCATGGTTCAGGTCCTAGAAACTGTTTGCTTTCAGTCTCTATCAAACTCAATTATAAAACTCTGTGATAAAAGCATCAAAAGCGGTGTTCAGCAGGAAAAGACTGCAGAATTGGCTTTTGCTCATTCCCACTGAAATGCCCTTTTCTCTCTGTATAATAGAGGCTGCAGTTTTTACTTTTGGTGTGTTTAGCAGCAGATTGACTTAAATTTGTTGTATTTGGCTCTAGAGCAGCAAAGAGCAGATGTCAGGGAGGTGCCGTGACATGAATAAAAAAGTTCAGAAAGCTTGTGGGAATTTGAGGGTGAGGGAGAAGTCTTCCTCCTATTTTTTCCATGCTAGAATCCATATTATAACATTTAGAGCTGGCATTCAGTTCAAAACTTGCTGTGCTGTAAGGGTTGCTGCATTGACGCAGACATTCTTTCCCACAGCTCAAATTATGGAAACAGAGTTTATTTATAAAATAAAATATGCCTGTGAAATTATAATTGATACCTTAATTATGGAGAACTTGCCTGAAAGATGGTAACTTAGCGATCTGTGGGACATTTTCCTGGCTTAGAATAGCCACGATTTACACTGAAACGTTTTCTCTGTATGAATCTTAGAAATGGAATTCCCCTGTCAGGGCAGACAGACTTCAGTAACTGAGAGGTACTCTGTCAGGGATGATAAGCCTAAAATAATGGTCAACTTTTAAACATTTAGGCTTGGCACATCTGAAAAGTAAGCTTTGCTGCTTGGGGATTGTCACTATTTGAAAAATATGCATTTAAAAGCCACCACTACATTATGCCAGTCTTTACATAAGCAGGTGGGTGCCAGATGTACGTGGGATCTTGGAAAGTTTGTTGCTTGGGATTATTTCTTTTCACTTCTGTAATGAGCAGAATGCTCCAAAAGTCAGTGGAGGCTTTTTTTAAAAAAAAGTCTTCTTTGCTTTGATTAAAGGGCCATTTCTGAAACACCTGGTGTAGTTTGTTAGTTAGTAGAATGATTACTTGTTTGTTTATCTTTCTCACATCTTTTTTTTTCATTCACCATCTACTTGCACTACGAGAGTATATATTGCCACAGTATAGTTTATAGAAACATAAATATGATGTAATTTGCATCATATTTACATTTATGTAATTTTGATTGCAGGTTGCTGTATTTGAAAATTGTGCCAGTTCTCTGTTGTCTTACATGTAGAAAGATGTACTTAATATTTTTTGGAGGAATTTCTTTTTCCTGTGATGAAAAGGTTTTACTTACAATAATTACAAGTACAATAATCTGCAGTAATAAAT